ACTAATGGGATCAGTTCCCATTAATGGCGTAATGAGTGAGCCCCAGTTAAGAAAAGGGGTGTGCCTATTATAGGGGGATTAAGGTATGGGGTAAACCTGCCCTATTTCCCTATTAAGGGATGGGTAGTTTGAGTTATTAAACAGAGGGGAGGGAGAAGAAAGGAAAATGAAGTGATAATGGGTATTAATGGGGTCGTTTGAAGGGGGAAGGGGAGGGGAAAGGGGGGTGAGGGGGAGTTAACACTTGAGGAGTACCCAAGGTAGTTAACACGACACTTAGACCTCACCATCAACACCACAACCTAACCACCACATCACCATCCCGACCAGAACCTTAACTACCACCACCAACAGTACTACCACCACCAACACCCACTGGAGAGTCGTAACGACCACTCCACAGCCCAATTGGGCCGTGGAGTGGTCGTTTTCCATCGAGTGGTCGCAATGTTCTCCAAATGCAATTGGAGAACACCGGGCTATGAGAGAACAGCGCCTGAAAGAAGTAACAAGAATAAAGATAACCGAACAAGCAGGAATAAAGATAACCGAACAATCAGGAATAAAGATAATCGAACAAGCAGGAATAAAGATAACCGAACAAGCAGGAATAAAGATAACCGAACAAGCAGGAATAAAGATAACCGAACAAGCAGGAATAAAGATAACCGAACAAGCAGGAATAAAGATAACCGAACAAGCAGGAATAAAGATAACCGAACAAGCAGGAATAAAGATAACCGAACAAGCAGGAATAAAGATAACCGAACAAGCAGGAATAAACATAATCGAACAAGCAGGAATAAAGATAATCGAACAAGCAGGAATAAACATAATCGAACAAGCAGGAATAAAGATAATTTATTATTTGAAAGAGCATATTAGGACAGAGAAGGTTAGGTTAAGCCAAGATACGATATGTTACCTCAAGGAAGCTTGACTCAAAACTTAGCTCATGGGCCGAAAAGCAGTTTCAGCTTGACTAACGTCCAAAAGTCACGGATGCACTGCTTGACTACTTAGGAAATTCTGTACCTCCTGTTGTTGTTATAGATTCAGCTACTCGGAACAAGTTCCAAGTAGCACGGGCTATGGTGAGCCCGTAACTTACCTGGCACAGGAGCGGGTCTCTTGTACCTCCTGGAAATTCCTTTTCTTGTAGATCATCACCTCCCCCCGTCAGCGGAGGAAGGGGGGGGGGGGTGCGGATATTATAAATCTTATATCTACCTTGAGGTGCTTCCGGGGCTTAGCGTCCCCGCGGCCCGGTCATCGACTAGGCCTCCAAATCTTGATAATCTTAGAAATCTTAGATATATTTATCTAAGATAAATATATCTTGAACAAACTGTTCAAATAGCACGCGACTCGAAAACTGATGACGTTCGAACTTTTCTCGAACAGTGCTTCGCTCACGTTCGAACCGCAAATACAAATGATTGCTCAACATAACCTAACCTAGATTTAATTATACTCAGAATTATAATGTATAGTTGACGGATGTTCCTTTGGGGTTGACCTCAGACCAGACGAGCGTAGCTGGAGGGACGAGTTGAAGCCCGAACACGTGACGTACCACGTGACGGCCGCCATGATGGGGGACTGGAATCCTTCAATCATCACAATCTCCATCCATTAAACATCGGAACATTCTTAACACATCCGCCTAACCTCAAAAACATCACCTCATTCTTAAAGCACTGGCCAAGCACTTCTTAATTCATTCGCCACCTGCTTGATACCTGCTTGATACCTGCTTGATACCTGCTTGATACCTGCTTGATACCTGCTTGATACCTGCTTGATACCTGCTTGATACCTGCTTGATACCTGCTTGATACCTGCTTGATACCTGCTTGATCCCTGCTTGATGGGGTTCTGAGAGTTGTTCTACTCCCCCAAGCCCGGCCCGAGGCCAGGGGCTAGATTCAGGAAGTAGTTACGCAAGCATTTACGAACTTGTACATCTTTTCTCAATCTTTGACGGCTTTGTTTACAATTATTAAACAGTTAATGAGCTCCGAAGCACCAGGAGGCTGTTTATAACAATAACAACAGTTGACTGGCAAGTTTTCATGCTTGTAAACTGTTTAATAAATGAAACCAAAGCCGTCAAAGATTGAGAAAAGATGTACACGTTCGTAAGTACTTGCGTAACTGCTTTGTGAATCCGGTTCCAGGCTCCATTAGTGAGCCAAGACAAATGTGACCATGGAGTGATAGCACACAAAATGAGGTCAGTGGGAATAACTGGTAAAGTAGGACGCTGGATACTCAATTTTCTATAATTTTTTTGTAGTGCGTCTCATACAACGTCATTTTCCAAACGTACGTCAAACATTCAAGTTATTTTTGATACAATAATGACCGAACGTTATTTTTTGGAGGGGGAACTACCAGAGATTACATTCATATACGTGGGTTAATGACCGCAACAATATGGTGAGTCAAATATGGTTGTGGTTCGAGCCTCTTCCAGGCGCTATATAGTCGTAAAGGCTTGGTGCTTTCCCCCTGATGGTTCCCCTGGAGCAGGTGGTTGTTTAAGATTTGCTACCTGGAAGACAAAGTTCCAAGCAGCACGGGCTATGGTGAGCCCGTAGTCTGATATTTTGGAGCAGGTGTTTGTTAGACGACATCCGGCTTCGTCTCCTCCATGGTACCCCCCCCACCTCCCCTCTCACCATGGTAACCTTTGTTCAACGTGTTCATGATGTTTCCCTACTCGCTCTCCCCCTCCACCAGTGTACACCTCCCACCACAGTGTACACCTTCCACCACAGTGTACACCTCCCACCACAGTGTACACCTCCCACCACAGTGTACACCTCCCACCACAGTGTACACCCCCCACCACAGTGTACGCCTCCCACCACAGTGTACGCCTCCCACCACAGTGTACACCTCCCACCACAGTGTACACCCTCCACCACAGTGTACACCCTCCACCACAGTGTACACCCTCCACCACAGTGTACGCCTCCCACCACAGTGTACGCCTCCCACCACAGTGTACGCCTCCCACCACAGTGTACGCCTCCCACCACAGTGTACACCTCCCACCACAGTGTACGCCTCCCACCACAGTGTACACCTCCCACCACAGTGTACGCCTCCCACCACAGTGTACACCTCCCACCACAGTGTACACTTCCCACCACAGTGTACGCCACCTCCACCAGACCTGAACATGCACTAATTTTGAGGCACACGAGCCACTCCACCGCCCCAGATTGCTTACATCCGTCCACCCCCCCCCCCATATATAAGCCCCCCCATTCCCCCCCTTCCACCCTCGCCCCCTACACCTCCCCCCTCATCACACACGCCTATCTCACCCCATCCTAACTTCCCCCTCTCTCCCTCCCTTTCAAACTACTCAACTATGATACGATTCCAACTACGCCAATAAGATTGGCGTAGAACTATGCCAAATACGATACTGTTCGAGGACCGTGAACAGCAACGGTGCGCTATCGTTCGTCTGGCAGCGACTCATAAACACCCAACTGTTTAACCGGACCAACCCAAGCAACCCGCCTAACCTTATTGAGGCTGGTGCGTAGAAACCGTCAATATTATGTTTTAATGTTCACCAATGATTCGCATTTTTAACGGATTGGTCAATTCCGTACACACTATGACGTTAAGGGATTGGCGACGTCTTGAAACATGTGATGGCACTGGCACCCTACCTTAACCGGCCGGACCAGGGGCCATTTTAACGAAGCAGTTACGCATACACACCTGGGGCCAGATTCACAAAGCAGTTACGCAAGCACTTACGAACGTGTATATCTTTCCTTAATCTTTGACGGCTTTGGTTACATTTATTAAACAGTTTACAAGCATGAAAACTTATCAATCAACTGTTGTTGTTGTTATAAACAGCCTCCTGGTGCTTCGGAGCTCATTAACTGTTTAATAATTGTAAACAAAGCCGTCTTTGTAATAATAATTGTAAACGTCTCTGGTTAGGTACAAAACAGTTGCATTCTTTACGGAGTGGCGGATAAAGAGAAGACACAATAGGCTGGTTGACACATGTAAGCCTGTGGGAGGAATTATTTTGAATCACAATCTAGTTCTTTATGAAACTACAAATTCGTAGGTTGAGGTTGTCCACTCAACTGTATTTTGGTGGGTGCGTGTGCGCGCATTTGCGTGTGTGAGCGCGTGTATGCGTGCGTATGATCAGCACCATATTATAATTACTTTTACTGGAAAATGTAAGGAGTACTAGGGGATTGGAATCCCCCCCGCCCCACCCTGAGTCCTGAGAATTACCCGACACGAGCCGTACGCCTGAACCACCCTAGACTAGCAAGTTCGATCCCCCGCCTCCTCCGTATTCAGACCGTCTTCATAAACAAAGATCAAATTCCATTCCATGCACCCGCCAAACCCGTTGTTTATGACTGAAAAAAAACGGTTTACACACGACTCTCAACTGCTGATGTCCGAACACTTCCGGAACAAGTGCTTCACTAACGAATTTTGTTCAAACCACAACGCTGTAAATGCTTCACCCACGTACTACAAATACAAATAATCGCCAACAGAACCTAAACACCTAACCTAACCAATGCCTAACTATGCACAATATGCTTATAAGAATATTAATTTATATTTGAGATAATGCCTATTTTGAATGAATAGCATATTAATATTGATGAATTTGGGGGTCGATCGCTGGATGGAATGGCCTTGGTCTGTGGACGGGTTGCTACCTATTGTTTCATTGTCTCAAAGGTGATGTAGCGTGTTAGTGTATGATTTCCGTGTGTTATATTTCTATTATATATATTAACGAATATATTCTCTCTTTTCAGAGCCAATGGTGTGAAGATACGAAGCTGGAACCAGATTCACGAAGCAGTTACGCAAGTACTTACGAACGTGTACATCTTTCCTCAATCTTTGACGGCTTTGGTTACATTTATTAAACAGTTTACAAGGGTGAAAAGTTGCCAATCAACTGTTGTTATTGTTATAAACAGCCTCCTGGTGCTTCGGAGCTCATTAACTGTTTAATAATTGTAAACAAAGCCGCCAAAGATGGAGAAAAGATGTACATGTTCGTAAATGCTTGCGTAATTGCTTCGTGAATCTGGCCCGTGGAGCCGCAAGAGCTTCCAATGTTTGAACAAGTCTCTCCCCGGTAAGAATAAACCTTTGGAGGAACCTTTGTATTTTTACTCGAGTCAAAAGCCTCTAACTCCAACCCGTCCTCTTAAAATACGCTCGTTTGCCCGTATGGCCAAAAATGGACGTAATTTGAAATGAAATCGGCTCACGAAAGTGACGTACTGTCCCGTTTTCTGTTTTAGGTCCTCTGGCTTAGGCTGTTAGGTTAGGATAGAAATAGATAGTTTCAATTAACTGTTTTCATGACCTTTTGAAACATTAGGAGAACTTCCTGCCCTCCTAACCTGCCAGAGGACCCTTAACTTGCTGTTTTTGGAAAAGAAAAATCCAAAATTTATTTTCAATTAAGTTTCAGTTTCAAATTACATCCATTTTCGACCATACGGTCAAATTCTGACGTAATTTGTGAGACCGGTTATTACACCCCGTAACACCTCTTGGGTGGGTTAATCTTCAATCAAAACTGCTGTTTCCTAAATGGTCTTGTTAACCTCTTTTAAACAACATTCCTAATCTGAAATAGGTCAACTGAATTCTAGACAAAAGGTCAACTTGACTGCATACAATTCACCAGGTCAAAGGTCAAGCTAGTTTCTGGTAAATAATTAGGAAATAAGTTCAGGTCACACAGAAATCACAATAGCGTGATGCATCAAATGAACAAATCCACAAGGGCCGTGACGAGGATTCGAACCTGCGTCCGAGAGCATCCCAGACGCTGCCTTAATCGACTGAGCTACGACATGGTCAAAAGGAGTCGAGAGGAGAAAAAAGAACTTGGGTTTCAACTCCTTTTGACCATGTCGTAGCTCAGTCGATTAAGGCAGCGTCTGGGATGCTCTCGGACGCAGGTTCGAATCCTCGTCACGGCCCTTGTGGATTTGTTCAATAAGTTCAGGTCACTGGGACGTAAAGAACATTATAATGAAGACTGCCACAATTTCACTGGGTTAGTTTCATCAATGAAACATTAACAACCAAACTCCAGCAACTGGTTGCTGGAGTTCAAACCCAATAAGTGTAAGGTAATGAAGATGGAGACGAGAGAAAGAAAACCAGAAGGTGTTTACACCATTAATGGAAGACCATTTGCAAGAATCGGATGAAGATATTTGGGAGTGGATATAACTCCATCGCCCACACCAGAGGCACACATAGACAGGGTGACATCAGCAGCATCTGGGACGCTAGCAAACCTTTGAACGTCTTTTAGGAACCTAAATCAGGACGCTTTCAAGGTATTGTACACAGCCTTTGTTAGATCAGTACTGGAAAATGCAACACAGGCCTGGAACCCATACATTGTGAAGCATAAAACTGAAATTGAAGAAGTGCAGAGGTTTGCAACTAGACTACTGGCAGAGCTTAGAGGGTTAAGCTATGAGGCCAGGCTGAAGCAACTGGCCCTCACAACAAGACATGATAACAACGTGCAAGATACTGAGGGGAATAGACAAGCTGGACAAGGACAGCCTCTAAGTTGAGAGAAAGTAGGACAAGAGGACGTAAGTGGAAGCTGGGAACACAAACTTGTTGAAGAGATGTAAGGAAGTACTGGCAGCGTGTAGGTCAACAAGAGGGATGCAGTAATGGAAGAATAAGTTGCGGAAGCCACCTCCACTTTAAGGACAGCTTCGATAAAGACTTTAATAGGTTATCTTGAGATGATTTTGGGGCTTTTTCGTGTCCCCTCGGCTCGGTCCTCGACCAGGCCTCCACCCCCAGGAAGCAGCCCGTGACAGCTGACTAACACCCAGGTACCTATTTTACTGCTAGGTAACAGGGGCATAGGGTGAAAAAAACTCTGCCCATTGTTTCTCGCCGGCGCCTGGGATCGAACCCAGGACCACAGGATCACAAGTCCAGCGTGCTGTCCACTCAGCCGACCGGCTCCGGGAGTGAAAAGTGAAGCTTTAACGCAACATGTACGACAAGACTAGTAGGTATATGGGCCTGCGGGCCGCTCCAAGCAACAGCCTGGTGGACCAAACTCTCACAAGTCATACCTGGCCTCGGGCCGGGCTTGGGGAGTAGAACAACTCCCAGAACCCCATCAACCAGGTAGCCAGCTGCTACAAGCTCCGGTAATGCCTTCTGGAGTAGTAAGAGCAAGTTACTCCCAAGTCACTGGCCCCGAGTGCCATTCCCGTGCAGGGGGGGGGCGAGAGATTTCCTTACCCTCGCCGCCTTGGAGTGTGTCCACACTGAAGAGGAACGACCGGGAGAGGGGGGAGGGGGGGGGATACAGCGGCTCCACTACTTACTCCCTGTTAATAATGATAGCCAGCGGCACGGTAATGCCAGGCATATGGTTATCTTCCCCCGGACACGGAGAGGAAGATGACACTTCCTTTCCGTGGCTGGATGGACCTTATAAACGCCGGAAGAGCGCCAATCCACGTCAGAAGAATACGGAATACGCCACGTATTTGTATAAAAAAGTATAGCAAGTATTTGTAAAGGTAAAAGTATAGTATATTATATATATATATATATATATATATATATATATATATATATATATATATATATATATATATATATAAAAGTATAGCAAGTCTGAGTACTCTGAGTACTGAGATGCTGTCTGAGTACTCTTTATTTTCTTCTCCGAGGCTATGGGTCCCTACACTTGCACCAGAGGTGGTACCCCTATAAAAGTATATATTGACGTTTTCTATGCATCAGCCGCGATATTTGGTGGGTTGCTTGGGTTCGTACGTTCCTTGTATTTAAAACAATGGCATTTCTTACGTGTCCGGTAAGGCGAAACAGTTGCATCTTGTATGTAGTGGCAAATAAAGAGAGCGGGCTGAACCAGTGGTGTTCATTTTTTTTTAATTATCAAGGGGAAAGCGCCAAGCCATTAGACTATATAGCACTTGGAAGGGGTCAGGATAAGGATTTGGGATGGGCCGGTGGGGGGGGGGGGCGAGGAATTGTGCCCAACCACTTGGGCGGTCGGGGATTGAACGCCGACCTGCATGAAGTGAGACCGTCGCTCTACCGTCCAGTCAAAGTGGCTGGACCAGTGGCGTTCAAAACTATGTTATATCCAGGCATACTTAATACACAGCACATAGCTATACCCTATGCTATATGCTGTGTATTAAATAATCTTCATGTGATGCTGTTAGCAGCATCCGGATGCGAGATAAACAGTCGGTTATCCCTCCAGTCTCCACTTAATGTAACTTGTGATACAAACGAACAGAAAGACAGTCACTTTTATATTTCACAAACAACCCTTACATGTTAGAACATGTGGGAATGAACGAGCAGATGTGCTGGCTACTGAAGGCGCTGAAGGAGACCATATTAAACACTACATACCCCAAGACACTTCAACAAATCAGATTTATTATCAGGCAACATCACCGTGACAAGGTAACTGAGGAAAGGAGGATAGAAGCACAAATCAGTGAATCTGTACGATGGTACAATATGGTTGCAGCTGGCAATCCCAATCATTATGGCCGAATGAGAGGTGGCCGTGGGAGATAATCAGTAATAGCGAGAATCCGTCTTGGATACAAATATCAATGGAGATATGGAATGGAAACAACAGTTGATCAGCGAAGTTGCAAAATCTGTGGTAAGAGTGACGTGCCCATCTAAAAGTCAATAGATACCTTGATACCTGTGTATCAAGGTATCAATGATACCTGTGTATCAATGTATGAAATACGTGTAAAATAATAATCCCCTTAGGTAAACACAATATCAAAATAGATACACTTCTTAAAAGATTCCCCCAATTTTCCACGCGAAAGATAGTCTAAGTTTAGGGGTTAGTCAATGTTAATCTCTTGATAAGTTGTTCACTTGAGACAGTTAAGCAAGTCCCAGCTGTGTCTGGGTACAAGTGACAGGATGAGCAACCCAGCGGGTTTTCTTCCTATTGAGGAGTGTTGTACATGCTGCTATGGCGGTGTGTCCACTCACAGGATGAGTGGCGCTGCCCAATACTGTCACTATGGCGGTGTGTCCACTCACAGGATGAGTAGCGCTGCCCAATACTGTCACTATGGCGGTGTGTCCACTAACAGGATGAGTGGCGCTGCCCAATACTGTCACTATGGCGGTGTGTCCACTCACAGGATGAGTGGCGCTGCCCAATACTGTCACTATGGCGGTGTGTCCACTCACGGGATGAGTGGCGCTGCCCAATACTGTCACTATGGCGGTGTGTCCACTCACGGGATGAGTGGCGCTGCCCAATACTGTCACTATGGCGGTGTGTCCACTCACGGGATGAGTGGCGCTGCCCAATACTGTCACTATGGCGGTGTGTCCACTCACGGGATGAGTGGCGCTGCCCAATACTGTCACTATGGCGGTGTGTCCACTCACGGGATGAGTGGCGCTGCCCAATACTGTCACTATGGCGGTGTGTCCACTCACGGGATGAGTGGCGCTGCCCAATACTGTCACTATGGCGGTGTGTCCACTCACAAGATGAGTGGCGCTGCCCAATACTGTCACTATGGCGGTGTGTCCACTCACAGGATGAGTGGCGCTGCCCAATACTGTCACTATGGCGGTGTGTCCACTCACGGGATGAGTGGCGCTGCCCAATAAACTCGCCCCTCGGGGCAAAATTAAAAAAAACTAACCCCACAGTCACCAAAGAACCAGTTCGAAAAATGGTTTCACAGCCTCAACAAACTACCGTTACTAAAATGAAAAACAACCCCAAACACTCCCTTAACAACCAGTTAACCTCAGTTTAACAGACAAGCAAGTCTATCTAAACTACCACAGAAACCATTATTTAACCCCACCCAACAGCCTATTTAGACAGGTATTAACAGCGTGACTGGCACAGGCGTGAGAGATTTGTCAGCAAATTGCATTTATTGCATTTTAAAACAAAATTTCTTTTAGCGAAATTTAACAAATGTCATGTTAAATTTTCAGCGAAAATAAAATTATATACAAATACAAGGTATGTGTGTATATGTATATTATATATATATATATATATATATATATATATATATATATATATAT